CATCTCCTGCACCGTGTCCGCAGTCTCTGGTCATCTCCTGCACCGTGTCCGCAGTCTCTGGTCATCTCCTGCACCGTGTCCGCAGTCTCTGGTCATCTCCTGCACCGTGTCCGCAGTCTCTGGTCATCTCCTGCACCGTGTCCGCAGTCTCTGGTCATCTCCTGCACCGTGTCCGCAGTCTCTGGTCATCTCCTGCACCGTGTCCGCAGTCTCTGGTCATCTCCTGCACCGTGTCCGCAGTCTCTGGTCATCTCCTGCACCGTGTCGCAGCAGTCATCTCCTGCACTGGTCTCTGGTCTCCTGCACCGTGTCCGCAGTCTCTGGTCATCTCCTGCACCGTGTCCGCAGTCTCTGGTCATCTCCTGCACCGTGTCCGCAGTCTCTGGTCATCTCCTGCACCGTGTCCGCAGTCCTGCACCGTGTCCGCAGTCTCTGGTCATCTCCTGCACCGTGTCCGCAGTCTCTGGTCATCTCCTGCACCGTGTCCGCAGTCTCTGGTCATCTCCTGCACCGTGTCCGCAGTCTCTGGTCATCTCCTGCACCGTGTCCGCAGTCTCTGGTCATCTCCTGCACCGTGTCCGCAGTCTCTGGTCATCTCCTGCACCGTGTCCGCAGTCTCTGGTCATCTCCTGCACCGTGTCCGCAGTCTCTGGTCATCTCCTGCACCGTGTCCGCAGTCTCTGGTCATCTCCTGCACCGTGTCCGCAGTCTCTGGTCATCTCCTGCACCGTGTCCGCAGTCTCTGGTCATCTCCTGCACCGTGTCCGCAGTCTCTGGTCATCTCCTGCACCGTGTCCGCAGTCTCTGGTCATCTCCTGCACCGTGTCCGCAGTCTCTGGTCATCTCCTGCACCGTGTCCGCAGTCTCTGGTCATCTCCTGCACCGTGTCCGCAGTCTCTGGTCATCTCCTGCACCGTGTCCGCAGTCTCTGGTCATCTCCTGCACCGTGTCCGCAGTCGCACCGTGTCCGCAGTCTCTGGTCATCTCCTGCACCGTGTCCGCAGTCTCTGGTCATCTCCTGCACCGTGTCAGTCTCTGGTCTCTGGTCATCTCTTGCACCGTGTCCGCAGTCTCTGGTCATCTCCTTGCACCGTGTCCGCAGTCTCTGGTCATCTCTTGCACCGTGTCCGCAGTCTCTGGTCATCTCTTGCACCGTGTCCGCAGTCTCTGGTCATCTCTGGTCCGCAGTCTCTGGTCATCTTGCACCGTGTCCGCAGTCTCTGGTCATCTCTTGCACCGTGTCCGCAGTCTCTGGTCATCTCTGCACCGTGTCCGCAGTCTCTGGTCATCTCTTGCACCGTGTCCGCAGTCTCTGGTCATCTCTTGCACCGTGTCCGCAGTCTCTGGTCATCTCTTGCACCGTGTCCGCAGTCTCTGGTCATCTCTTGCACCGTGTCCGCAGTCTCTGGTCATCTCTTGCACCGTGTCCGCAGTCTCTGGTCATCTCTTGCACCGTGTCCGCAGTCTCTGGGTACCGTACCGTGTCCGCAGTCTCTGGTCAGTCTCTCCTGTACCGTGTCCGCAGTCTCTGGTCATTCCTGTACCGTGTACTGTGTCCGCAGTCCGCAGTCTCTGGTCATCTCCTGTACCGTGTCCGCAGTCTCTGGTCATTCCCTGTACCGTGTCCGCAGTCTCTGGTCATCTACCGTGTCCGCAGTCTGTCATCTCCTACTGTGTCCGCAGTCTCTGGTCATTCCCTGTACTGTGTCCGCAGTCTCTGGTCATCTCCTGTACTGTGTCCGCAGTCTCTGGTCATTCCCTGTACTGTGTCCGCAGTCTCTGGTCATCTCCTGTACTGTGTCCGCATTTGTTGTTTTTTTTTTTTTTTTTAAACTATAGTCCGGCCCTCCAACGGTCAGACAGTGAACTGGCCCTGTTTAAAAAGTTTGAGGACCCCTGTTCAAGACCTACTGAGGAAGCCCAGTTGGGGGCGAGATACCAGGGGCTATGTAAGCTTTATTTACCCGCAATTTCACTGTAACTGTGATTGGCTTCATGATTTTAATGTTGTTTTATTCAATAAATGGACATTTGTGGACTACAATACTTGTGTTGAGACTTCAGTGCTATACAAAATCCAGCAGCCGCAATTTGGAATTTAAAGTGGTACTACACTCACAATAGTAAAATCAGTCTGTATATGCAGTAAAGCAAGCTTGCTACACTCACTGTGGAACCTAAGGGGTTAATCCTCCGCATTGTGCAAAAATGCCGTTTGATCCGTACTTCTCTGATCCTCCCCTTCTTCCAGTGTCCCCCTCTTATCTCCTGGTAAAACATATCGTGTGGAGACACTCTGCACATGCTGTTTGATGTGTATTGCTAGAGATTTTTTTTCTTTGGAGAGTGCATGTGATCAGCACAGGGTCCATCAGCACTGTCCAGACAGAGGTCAGGGGTTCTGCATCCTCCTAGAGCAAAATGAAAAATCCTCCTACAAGCTTTAACCAGTGCTCTGCTGGACACTGATAGAAGTCAAAAGACTGCTCCAACTGCTGATAAAAGGTATTTAGCAGTTTACATTTACTAAAATAATTGCATTTCCATGTTCTGTGTATTGTGGGAGACCGGATATAGTGAATGCAGGGTCCTGGGTTTAGTAACACTTTAACAAATTACCTGATTAAGCTTTTCTCACATCAGCTTTAGTTTAACCACCTCATTACTTGCCATAGCCGAAAAGACCGCTATAGCACAGCTCTCTTGTTCTGAGAGGGCGACCACAGACACCCCCTAAGAGCATGCATTTGGTGCGCTCTGTGACCATTGTGTCTTTTGGACACAGCTGATCATAGATCAAGGTATAGGGCCAATCACAATGACCCCTTACCATGTGATCAACAGTCTCCAATCACAGGTGATCCCATGTAAACACACTTGCCAGTTATCTGCATTTCCTTTCCTCACACACTGTCACTGTGTGAGGGAAGAAGAGCCGATAACCGGCAAGGCTGTCAAAACACTGTTTACACTAATAATCAGGGAACGGATCATCAGTGCCCAACAGTGCAACCTATCAGCTCTGCCTTGTCAGCTCCTCTTCATCAGTGCAACCTCACCAGCACCCATCAGTGAAGAAGAAAAATTACTTTGTTGCAAAATTGTATAACAGAAACGAAGGAAAACTTTTTTAAAAAATATATTCAATCTTTTTTTTTTTATTAACAAAAAATAAACCCAGTCATAAATAAATACCACCAAAATAAAGCTCTATCTGTCTCAAAAAATGATAAAAATGTCATATGGGTACAGTGTTGCATGACCGCGCAATTGTCATTCAGAGTGCAACAGCACTGAAAGCTGAAAATTGGCCTGGGCAGGAAGGGGGTGAAGGGGATCTATGTGCATTCTTTTGAGGTTGTGTTTAAGCTGTTTGATCTCACCTCCAGCCAGGGGGCATTACACTCAGCAGCCGCAGATAACACCCATTTTTGCAGCTCATCTTTGATGGTCTACATTTACAGTCCAACGGATTACTTCCTGCATTTTCTGCGCCAGACTTTATTGGGTTGTTTTGAAGGCGACAAGAGCAGATCTTACCTATGCAATGAGTGCCAGTAATGCCACTTACAGCCTCCGCTGGAAATGAATGTGACAGGGTGAGAACACAGGAGGGCAAATAGGGGACAGAAATAGTGTTGTCACCCTGTATCTGAAAGAGCCTGAACAAGAACCTTCATGGTATATCAGGTTTTATTTCATGAAAAATGAAGATTGAAAATTACACAAAAGCAGGCAGTTGAGTTGCAGTTTTACTGCCCCCCCTAACCACCTACCTAAAGCAGGGCATTCAGCTGTTTAGGGCAGTGGCAAAAATTAAACGGCAAGTCTATTTCCGCAGGCAGTACCTCCACCAAACACAAACTATTCAAGCTGAAAGTTGGCATTTGAGGTTTAAATCAGGTGGTGAGAAAGTGACTAATTGCCTACTCACTGCTTGCCTAATGCCTCTGAAAAGTGATCCACCATGGATCACTTTTCAGAGGGGTGGCAGTATAACCTCTCATGTGAATGAGCCCAAAGAGGGTGGACATTCCAGGAAGAGATGGTGGGACAAGGATTCATTATCTTTTTTTTCACAGGCAGTGTCTTGAAGCACTGGGGTCACCAGCTGGCAGGCCGGCAAGGACTCTGCATGGAGTTTGCAGGCTCTCCCTAGAGAAGGTTTCTTCCCATACCACAGTGACATGCTTGTAGGTTAATTGGCTCTACAATGTGTATGTGTAGGATAGGGACCTTAGAGTGCAAGCTCCTCGAGGGGGGGGGGCACCTTAAAAGTGCAAGCTCCTCGGGGGGCACCTTAAAAGTGCAAGCTCCTCGGGGGGCACCTTAAAAGTGCAAGCTCCTCGGGGGGGGGCTCCTCGGGGGGCACCTTAGAGTGTAAGCAGCACCTAAGAGTGCAAGCTCCTCGGGGGGCACTTTACAGTGCAAGCTCCTCAGGGGGCACCTTAGAGTGCAAGCTCCTTGGGGGGGCACCTTAGAGTGTAAGCGGCACCTTAGAGTGCAAGCTCCTCAGGGGGCACCTTAAAGTGCAAGCTCCTCGGGGGGCACCTTAAAGTGCAAGCTCCTCGGGGGGCACCTTAGAGTGCAAGCTCCTCGGGGGGCACCTTAGAGTGCAAGCTCCTCGGGGGGCACCTTAAAAAGCAAGCTCCTTGGGGGGGGCACCCTATTTTGCAAGCTCCTTGGGGGGGCACCCTATTTTGCAAGCTCCTTGGGGGGGCACCCTATTTTGCAAGCTCCTCGGGGGGGCACCTTAAAGTGCAATCTCCTTGGGGGGGGCACCCTATTTTGCAAGCTCCTGGGGGGGGGGCACCTTAGAGTGCAAGCTCCTCAGGGGGCACCTTAGAGTGCAAGCTCCTTGGGGGGGGCACCCTATTTTGCAAGCTCCTCGGGGGAAGGGTGAGATGTGCATGTATAATACCTGTAATAAAGCCACCGGTGATCAGCCATAATTGAACTGTCGGTTGTGATTAGAGCGGTCATAAAAACTCCCCACCCACCTGCTTGAAGGTGCTGGTGAGGAAATAAATGAGAGAAAGTCCGAAGACCACCCCCAGAACCCATCTCTTCCGTAAGATCTTCCTCCACACCATAGACAGTAGGTTGACCATTCCAGTAGCCGAGTCCTGGCAGTGTGCACGTATCAGGGGATGGGGGAGGGCTCTCTACAGACCATAGTCATGGAGGACCACATATGACATGCCAGGAGGAGGACGAGGCCTCTATTCAGCACACTCCGGGCTCACACCGCGTACAACCTCCACATCTCCATCACATCGGCAGTCACGGGACCATTTGTTGTGAGCAGCAGTTTGCCCCGGAACTCCATGGAGGGCACGGTGCACTTCCTGGACAAGAGCCCGTCTCCATGGTAGCAGGCGCTTCCTTCCCCACGCTGCTACACTAATGAACCGGAAGTCATTGGCCGGTTCAGGATTGGGTGATGTCATCCGCGAGGTGCGGCCGGGGTAAAGGTGAGAGTTGGTAGGAGGCTCTGTGCTGTTGTGTGACAATGGGAGACACTGAGCTATGAATGGAGGTCTGCCCGTCTGTGTCAGGGATGCTGCATGTACAGCTCAATGTCATAGCAGAGGGAGACATTGGACGGTCTACATAACAGGGTGGCAGTCTGCCCATGTGTGTGTCACCGCCCCCCGCATGTACAGCCCTGGGGTGATCTACTGGCAGATATCATATTAGGATACACTGTCTCTACAGTCTGCCCATGTACTGTATGTGTCACCACCCCCCACATGTACAGCCCTGGGGTGATCTACTGTCAGATATATTAGGATGCACTGTCTCTACAGTCTGCTCATGTATGTATCACCGCCCCGCCCCCCCCCCCCCGCATGTACAGCCCTGGGGTGATCTACTGGCAGATATCATGTTAGGATTCACTGTCTCTACAGTCTGCCCATGTACTGTATGTTTCACCGTCCCCCGCATGTACAGCCCTGGGATGATGTGTGCCTGACACTGGGACACACTGGACAGTCATCCTAACAAGTGTAGGAGCACCCTATAGGGGGTTGGTTTACTAAAGAGGGTGGGCAATCTGGTGCAGCTCTGCATAGCAACCAATCGGCATCCAGTTTTTATTGCTAAAGCTTAATTGAACAAGCTGAAGTCAGAAGCTGATTGGCTACTGAGCACAGCCTCACCAGATTCGGAGTGCTCCAGTTTTAGTAAAGAAAAAGGAACCCCTAGAAATAAATATTACGGTACTTTACGGGCAACTCAAAAGAGATACTGATATAAAAATACAGAAAGAACTTTAATAACCCGCTTCCCAACCACCCTATAGTAAAACTACTGCTACAGGATGACGGGGCTGCGAAAAATCTTGTGTGTGTGTATATATATATATATATATATATGTGATTTTATATTTCCGGGTAGAGAGATTGGCGGCTACAGCTGCCGATCACCAGGTCCCAGCCGTAGGTTTCCCGCCGGCACCCAGCTATCACTGAAGGGGGAGAGACCTGTATGTAAACAATACAGTTCTCTCCCCTGTCAGCTCCAGCATGCTGCTTTGTATTGCTCTGCATAATGGTTTGAGGAACACACCAAGATAAAGGTGTTGACTTGGTCTAAAAATTCTTCAGATCTCAGTCCATTGAGCTGGGATGTGCTGAAAAAACTAGTCCGATCCATGGAGGCCCCACCTCACAACTTACAGGACTTAAAGGATCTGCTACTGACGGATTGGTGCCAGATACCACAGCACACCTTCAGGGGTCCAGTGGAGTCCATGCTTCAACTGGTCAGGGCTGTTTTGGTAGCAAAAGAAGGGCCTACTCAATATTAACAACTTGCCATCCAGCCGCTGTATATAAACGGCCAGACGGTGGCAGTGCAGGAGCGGGTTGCCGTTCATAAACGGCGCCTGCCATTTCGGACTGTGCGCGCTCCCTGGGAGCACGAAGCACTGCGATCCTGTGCCCACTGTGTCCTTCGGACATAGTGGAACACCGATCGTTGTACAGGACCTCTGTGCGAGGTCTCGATCATGTGATCACTGATTGGCCAATCAGTGATCACATGCAGAGTAGTAAGCAAGATGTCACTTCTGACATTGCTTACTACGTGTGAAATCTGTGAATGATCACAGAGGTCACCTGGTACAAGGCTATTCACAACAGCCTTGTACCATGTGACAAGCTGTGACCAATCACAGCTCACACAGTATTTCTCAATGGCTGCAAGAATGCAGCCAGAGAGGAGGAGAAATGATTGCTTTTACAGCCTTTATGGGTGTAGAAGATTTTTTTTTTTTTTCACACTGATTGCTTTATCACCCCCCACAAGTAGTACAGTGTCACCATAGTGACACTGTACTGTTAGGGTGACAGTATGTAGATAAAAAAAATATAAATATTAATATAAAACTGTAAAAAAAAATGTTTTAATTATAATTTTAGGTTATAAACTAATTTGGGTTATTTTTTTTTACTAAAAAGATAATAGAATAACATTTGGCCAAGATTTATGATGAAATATTATTTATTTGCAAAATTTTATAAGAAAAACACTGTTTTTTCAAAATTTTTTGACTTTTTCATTTATATAGCAAAAAAAATAAAAATCCCAGTGGTGAAAAAAAACACAAAAATAAAGCTTTATCTGTCTCAAAAAAATGCTAAACAATTAATGTGGGTACAGTGATGCATGACCGCGCAATTGTCATTCAAAGTGTGATAGCGCTGAAAGCTGAAAATTGGCCTGGACAGGAAGGGGGTAAAAGTGTCCGGACTGGAAGTGGTTAAGTGGGTGGTCATAATGTTATGGCTGATCTGTGTATCAGTGGGCCCTGCATGTACAACCCTGGTCTGATTTGTTGCAGTATTATGTAATAATATGATACATTGAATAGTCTCCATAATATACAGTCATGGCCGAAATTGTTGGCACCCTTGATATTTCTCCAGGAAATCATGTATTTCTCTCGAAACGTATTGCATTAACACATGTTTTGCTATACACATGTTTATTCCCTTTGTGTGTATTGGGACAAACACAAAAAAAGGGAGGAAAGAAACAAATTCGACATAATGTCACACAAACCTCCAAAAATGGGCTGGACAAAAGTATTGGCACCCTTTCACAACTGCGGATAAATAAGAATGTTACAAGCATGTGATGCTCCTGTAAACTCACCTGGGGCAAGTAACAGGTGTGGGCAATATAGAAATCACACCTGAAAGCAGATAAAAAGGAGAGACGTTCACTTAACCTTTGCATTGTGTGTCTGTCTGTGCCACACTAAGCATGGACAACAGAAAGAGGAGACGAGAACTGTCTGAGGACCTGAGAACCAAAATTGTGGCAAAATATCAACAATCTCAAGGTTACAAGTCCATCTCCAGAGAACTAGATTTGCCTTTGTCCACAGTGCGCAACATTATCAAGAAGTTTGCAACCCATGGCACTGTAGCTAATCTCCCTGGTCGTGGACGGATGAGGAAAATTGATGAAAGATTGCAACGCAGAATAGTCCGGATGGTGGATAAGCAGCCCCAAACATGTTCCAAAGACATTCAAGCTGTCCTGCAGGCTCAGGGAGCATCAGTGTCAGCGCGAACTATCCGTCGACATTTAAATGAAATGAAACGCTATGGCAGGAGACCCAGGAGGACCCCACTGCTGACACAGAGACATAAAAAAGCAAGACTACAGTTTGCCAAAATGTACTTGAGTAAGCCAAAAGCCTTCTGGGAAAACGTCTTGTGGACAGATGAGACCAAGATAGAGCTTTTCGGTAAAGCACATCATTCTACTGTTTACCGAAAACGGGAATGAGGCCTACAAAGAACAAAACACAGTACCTACGGTAAAATATGGTGGAGGTTCAATGATGTTTTGGGGTTGTTTTGCTGCCTCTGGCACTGGGTGCCTTGACTGTGTGCAAGGCATCATGAAATCTGAGGATTACCAAAGGATTTTGGGTCGCACTGTAGGGCCCAGTGTCAGAAAGCTGGGTTTGCGTCCAAGATCCTGGGTCTTCCAGCAGGACAATGACCCCAAACATACGTCAAAAAGCACTCAGAAATGGATGGCAAAGAGAAGCGCTGGAGAGTTCTGAAGTGGCCAGCAATGAGCCCAGATCTAAATCCCATTGAACACCTGTGGAGAGATCTTAAAATTGCTGTTGGGAAAAAGGTGTCCTTCCAATAAGAGAGACCTGGAGCTGTTTGCAAAGGAAGAGTGGTCCAAAATTCCGGGTGAGAGGTGTCAGAAGCTTATTGATGGTTATAGGAAGCGACTGATTTCAGTTATGTTTTCCAAAGGGTGTGCAACCAAATATTAAGTTAAGGGTGCCAATACTTTTGTCCAGCCCATTTTTGGGGTTTTGTGTGACATTATGTCATATTTGCTTTTCTGCCTCTGTTTTATATTTGTTCCAATACATACAAAGGGAATAAACATGTGTATAGCAAAACATGTGTTAATGCAATACCTTTTTTGTGTGAAATACTTGATTTTCAGGAAAAATATCAAGGGTGCCCAATTTCGGCCATGACTGTATATGAATAGCAGTTCACCCATGTATGTATCAGTGGACCCTGCATGTACAGCCCTGGTCTGATTTTCTGCAGTATAGTCTGACCGTAGAATACACTGGACAGTCACACCAACTGTAGTAGCAGTGTTGGAGTGTCAGACTTCCGTGCCCCCATAACTGCCTGTCCCCAACAGCCCCCATAACTGCCTGTCCCCAACAGTCTTTACATACAGGTATTCAGTTTACATATAGATCAAGGAGCTGTCCAGTGCTGAACCTTTGTTTCCACAAGATTGACTGATTAGAGATGTATTAATTTTTAAAGTGTATCTAAACCCCGTAACAGTCATTGTTCTTTTATTTTCACCTGGTGTTCCAGCCAGTAAGTCTGTTATTTTCAACTTCCATTAAAGTGGAACTAAACCCTCCTGTCAGTCAAGGAAGCTGCCATCTTTGCCTCTGTTGCATCTGCAACTGCCATGGTGCTGCATATGTTATCAGTTATGAACTCCAGCCATTAGAAGGTTTGACAGTTTGGTTGAGAACACAAACAAATGTGTGGGCTCATTCACACAATATACGCAGATTTCACTTGCAGAGACATCAGTTTACATCAGTTTTCATGTGCACTTCATTGAGTTTTATACACATTGCAGGTTCCTGCGCAGAATAAAAATTGCACATGATACTAGTGTTGTGGTGTGAACAGGGCACATAGAGAACAATAGATTTTGTTGTGCCCTTGCAGAACGCGTGCAGAAAGACTGATGTCTCTGCAGCATGGAGAGAACAAGTCCTGTAAGTTAGTGTGCTAGGAATCAAACAGTGTTTTTTAACCACTTCCTGTCCGGACACTTTTTACCCCTTCCTGTCCAGGGCAATTTTTAGCTTTCAGCGCTATCACACTTTGAATGACAATTGCGCGGTCATGCAATACTGTACCCATATGAATTTTTTACCATTTTTTGGGACAGATAAAGCTTTATTTTGGTGGTATTTATTCACCGCTGGGATTTTTATTTTTTTTACTATGTAAATTAAAAAGTCCAAAATTTTGAAAAAAAGTGTGTTTTTTTTAAAATACAATTTTGCAAATAAATAATATTTCATCATAAATCTTGGCCAAAATTTATTCCGTTATTTTTTTAGTAAAAAAAAAAAAAATCCAAATTAGTTTATAACCAAAAATTATAATTTTTAAACATTTTTTTTTACATTTTATTTTATTTTTTTATATTATTTTTTATTTTTATTTTTTTTTTTTACATACTGTCACCCTAGCAGTACAGTGTCACCATGGTGACACTGTACTACTTGTGGGGGGTGATGATGATTTTTTTTTTTACACTGATTGCTTTTACACCCATATAGGATGTAAAAGCAATCATTTCGCTTTCTCTCTGTCTGCATTCTTGCAGTCATTGAGAATTACTGAGTGAGCTGTGAGTGGTCACAGCTTGTCACATGGTACAAGGCTGTTGTGAATAGCCTTGTACCATGTGACCTCTGTGATCATTCACACAGAGTAAGCAATGATGTCACAAGTGACATCTTGCTTACTACTTTGCATGTGATCACTGATTCGCCAATCAGTGATCACATGACCGGGACCTCGTACAGAGGTCCGTCCGACGATCGGTGTTTCACTGTGTCCGGAGGACACAGCGGGCACCGGATCGCGGTGGTGCGCGCTCCCAGGGAGCGCGCACAGCTAGAAAAGGCGGGTGCCATTTAGGAACGGCAACCCAACCCTGGACTGCCACCGCCCTGCCGTTTATAAACAGCAGGCGGGCGGCAAGAGGTTAATCTGTTAAACTGATGAATTTAGTTCCATTTTCACAGAACAAGCTGTCCAAATAGTGGCAGTTAGAGGTTTGAGAAAAACCATTTAAAGTGGTTTTCAGCCAAAGAAGAAAAAGCCTCATTTAAAGTGGACATCAGCCATTTTCAGCCAGCAATCATGACAATTAGCATTCCGGGCATGCCTGGAATGTAACTGTTTTTTATAAATTATGTTCCACTTAAAACCTTTATCCCAAAGGAACAGAAAAACTGTCCTGTAGCTGCTTATAAAATGTTAGCTGGAGTTAGGTTTCAGTTGCAGCCACTTGCAGATACCTGTAAAGTCCAGTGTTCTGGTGTAAAGAACAATAGCATTGTGCCCTGTCACATGCAGAAAAAAAACGGTGGTGCACAGAAATTAAAATTCTGGATCGAAACCTTTATCCCAAAAGGAACAGAACTGTCCTGTAGCTGCTTATAAAATGTTAAGTTATTCAAGTATGTCCATCTTGGTCCACCGGTGGTGCACAAATTTAAAAACCGAAAATTTAAGAACTTGGCCAAAAAACGAAATGGACAGTTTCTGTAAAAAAAAATATATTTTATATATAGTTGTATTTTATTCAACTTTTTAATTAATATCATGAATTTAAATGAATATGAATTGAAAGAATACAATCCAGTAACTTAACTTTTATTGAAACTAACATGCAAAAATTGGATAGAAAAAAAAAATGAAAAAAAAAAATAAAAAACTTAAAGCATAAGTTCACCTTTGGGAACGTATTTTTAGGGTGGAACATGTAACATGTTCTGGGACCTGCAGCCGCCATCCACTGTCCCCCCTCCTTTCCTGTGACAAAAGTATGGGGGGATGTTCCCTGTACTAGCTGTCAGTTTTAAAAAACAGCATGGCTCTGCCCACGCGGCTGTGTCATTCATTTACAGTGTTCTGTGAATAAATGGACTAAAAGTCCCGACAGCCTTAGCGGCTGTCAACTTGTAGTTCTCAATGGACTACCATGGCACTGTGAGCGCTGTGGTAGTTGATTGAGTCTTCCTGTCAGCAAGTATCGGCTTGCCCATACAGGATGTGCAAGCAAGCAGACAAACTGACTGTGCAGGAGATCTCCATGGCATCAGCAAACTTCTGATTGCTGGTGCAATGTTTTTCAGGCTCCTAACACAAAAAATAAATGCACATTTTTTTTACCTGCAAAAAAAGTGCATTTATTATTTTTTATGGAAAGGTGAACTTATCCTTTAAAGGATAAGTTCACCTTTCCTAATATGTAACATGTTACACCCAGATTCAGGGTGTAACATGTTATGAATAGACTGGCCCCAGCTCCTCCGCTTTGATATCTAGCGGGGGATCTTCTTCCACTAGTTGTCAATATTTTAAACAATGTGAATTTATTATTTTTTTAGCAAAAGGTGAACTTATCCTTTAAATATGCTGCACAATAAAAAAAAAAAACAGCCATTATCAACAACTTTTTTTTTTTTTTTATCGGCAAAACAGTGATAACCTTTTTTTTTTCTCCAGTTACTTTCGGCAGCTGATATATTGGTGCGTCACTACTGTCCACAAGTTGTGATCAATTGAAATATATCACAGGTTTAAATACAATTAAAGTGGACCTTTGCCCCTTTTACTAAATTTCACATCAGCATGCATCACTGATTATTATAAAGATAAAAGAAAGAAAAACAGTTTTTTGGTATACTTACCTTACTTGCTCCCACTCTACCACCCGCCCCCCCCCCCCCACCCCCCCCCCCCCCCCCCCAGTTCCCCTGACGGCAGCAGTGATGTAGCCCCAGCCACACAGATGCCCAATGGGATGGTAATATCAGTAGTGCTTACAGGGATACACTAAGCTGCAAGATCTCACATATGTGAAATATGAAATTATAGTCATTTGCTTTAACAAAAACAAACTTTCTCTCTTGCAAGACCTCGCAGAAAGGCTTTTTTTTCCAACAATGAGTGTAATTTTGTATGGTACATGATGTCATGCATTCTACCGCGCAAGTGCATAGACCATCAACTTTTAAAATGGTGACATGGGAACAGGCACACCAGCTGCACAGAAGCAGCCTAAAAAAGCTACCACAAGATGGAAAGATTGCATAAAGTAGTGTCATTTTAATTTGGGGGGGGGTCATCTTTAAAGGCTTCATAAAGAATAATAAAAAACAACAAACATTACCTTCATTTTCTGAGAGATAGTAGATGTCAAAGTTCATTCATCTAGTGTAGTCCAAGAAAAATCATTGTATACAATGCCCCAGAACACAAAACATTGTACCAACAGCACAGTGTTATAAAAACATTGTAAATGAGCAAAACAGAGCAGAGTTGTTTACTGTTATAGCTAGATTTATCATAGTAAAGCCACCAAAACAAGTGTTAATCGTTAATCTCCACAATGTTTGTCTTCAGAGAAGATTGTAATATATCTAGCCCTGTATGTCATTCTATACTTTTTTTTTTTTCTCTTTCAGTTATCATGTCTAGAAAGTTGGATTGTCATCTCTGATGAGGTTCTGCTACATTGTCTCTGAACTCAAACTGCAGTCTCACCTACTTGAAGACCACTCATGTTTTCTAATTCTACAAGCAAGAATTTCACCTACTGCTTCCTTTTTCCTTTAGACTATACACCTTAAATGTATTGTTTTAAGGTCCTGAGGACAATGCAGAGAAGACACAGCAGCCTGACAGATAATCCTCCTCCAGAGAGGTATAACTGCTCACTGTTGCTCAGTTCTGGTAGCACCATTTTCTGGTGGTTTGCCTGGACATAGATGATAGTTTTGATCGGTCTCACTGTACTCAGCTTTAATTCATCTCTCTGTTTATACCACTAAACTAGATAAATAGTATAGTTAAATGTAGTTTATAGATTAAAAGTAGTTAGTGTATTGAAAATGTGTACATTCAGCAAAACAACTATACTTCCCCCCCAGTTAAAATATCTATATATGCGGATTTGAAGCTGGGGTGGAATGTTACAAAGACACAAAACTAGCATAGAGTGATAAGTGGATTATGAATGAAGTCAAAGAATGTGTACTTTTTTAATTATGCCAAATACTTGTCCTAATCTTGTACATTCTGCACCTTGACATCTTCACATCAGTTATTATTATTATTACAGTACAGTTATCCTCAGCTGGGAGACCCCTGGGGAAACTTTAAACTGCACAGGCTATGGAGTACTGACCTAGGCTTATACTTGTGGAGTACCATTTTCTGTCTTCTTTTGGCTCCCAGCTTGTGATTGATTAAATAGGAATAATGCATCTTTAACTGTTTAGTATTTTTAAGATTTATTGTGGAACTTGGGACATTGAAACATTTTTTTCAAGGACTGTAAATAACGAGACAGATGTGATTATTGAATATTGTTAAACTCCCAAGTACAGTCAAACCTTTCTTCCTTCCCTTGTTTTGTCCTGTGGGAGGATCTTTTGATATCCTTTTGGTCTATTACCCATGGAATTGGCTTCCACTGACGTCTTTGTAGCAGTCCAAATTATGCACCTTTTGCAAAACATGTCGAGCCTTATGTGAATGGATGGTGGCAAATCTTTGAACCATTATACCTCTAGTACTATCTGGATAATATATATCGATCATGTAGGGATGGCAACAAGGTGAGCATGATGAGTAAGGTCTTGTTTGACTGAAACGCGTTAGTGTTGCTTGTCAGCTAGAACTTTTTATACTCTGCACCTTTAATAAAGTTTCTACAGTTTTATTCTTACCTTGTTTCCGACCCTACGTGATTGATATATGCAAATTGAGTGGATGGAGACCGTGGTAATGGCACAGTGAGATCTATACTCCTTTTGGAATGTGTTATAGGGGTTGCAGCACTTTTATTTTGTATGTGTGTATCTGAATTGTATATACCGTCTCTAAAGTATATGGCCACCACCCTAATTGACATAACGGTGCAGGATGCTATTTTGTTTTAAGCAAAAATTTTTTTAAATCAATTATTTTAATTGTGCTAGAATGTATATTTTTTGATAAATTGGTGTGGTGCCTATAAAGACCATGGACTAGGGCCCAATGTTTGTAACTTCTTATTAATCAATATAGAATGAGACATTTTTGTATTCGTTTGGGTAACGAGCACTCTATCGTTTCCACTTGTAGTGATCTTGTTTCCTTTCATTATTGATATCAAGTACAGTTTTGAATTCACTGCCACCACACAAGGTACTGAGTGCATTCTATCATTTTATACCTTTAATATCATTTAGGGAATTTTTGACTGCTATAAGTTTAGCAATCATTTTTAAAATAAGGGTTTTAATTTATTGTCAGATCTTCACAAGAGTACAGATATTCCTGCTAGTAAAGCAATACTGATATTTTATGAATTTATGATTAGTAGTTTTTTAAATATTTTAGTAACTGATGATATAGAGTTTTTTTCACAGAGATCAGTATAGTCCTGCATGCTTTTTAATATACTAACTATTATTACTGTATATCAACTACGTTTAATTATACTATTTTATGCAATTATTTTTTTTATATAAATATCATTTTTATCATATTTTTGTGGAACAGAACTTGACTTATGCATACAGTATATCCATTTGGTATTTTCTTTTAAAGGTGATTTTCTGTTTTTTATTAGATGTAACGTTCGCTTTTCTTATAGTCAGAATCGTACAACTGGACTATAGATTGTGTATTTTAGAACACATACCTTCACTACACACACCTACACAATTTGCATTTTTAGATATTTAGTTTATTATAATTTATATTGTTTTATGCTGTTCTGTTTTCTAACCCGCAAAAAAGGGGGAGTTTTGAGCACCCGAAAAGCATTGGCATTTTGATTACCTTTTGCTGTAAAATTATAACTGAACTCGATCGTGTTTTTTGACGCTCTCTAATCTCACTATTAATTTCTTCAGTATGGCTAACTATAAGGTAAAGAGAGATATATGGCCACACAAGCTAGTCCTGTGGACAGCAAAAATGTATGAGCATATATGTCTAAGTATGTACTGTTGGGATATGTGAAGTGTTGAGCAACAGTAATAAATGCATTCATTTACAAGCTTAATAAAATTTGACCCCATTTCTGCTTGATTTTACAATTTATGTAGGAGTCGAAGCCAAAACTTGAGCTCTGACACCAGTATGGAAGATGGTGTGTTTAATGGATTAAAGCAAGACCCACCGTCATCTCAGCATCTCTTCTCAAGTCTAGCTGGTCTTCAGCCTGGGCCAATCACAGTGCAGTCTGGTTTAGTACTGGGATCCTCAGCAGGAGGGGGTGACGTATTTATACAAATGTCTCCACCACTCAGAGAGGAAGCAAGTGGTCGCTCTGAAACCAGCAACTTCACAATCATCATCATCACCACACCATCCTCATCACCGACAGCAGCCACAGCCACCAGCCCACCACCAACAGCATCACTTTCAACATTCACATTCCCGGTCATCACTTCTGCATGCAGCTGCTGGAGAACGTCACCGAGAGGAGAACAATGAGGAACCAGGCACACCAGCACCAGCCTTGTCTGAACTTAGGGCCATTGTCTCATGGTTACAGAAAGGGCTTCCTTTCATTCTAATCCTACTAGCCAAAGTCTGCTTTCAACATAAGCTTGGTAAGTGTACTACTAATGTGTTGTAACACAAAAGTATATTCAATCACTTTTAAGGCTCACAATGAGGACCATTTCAGAGGCCATCCAAGCCCTGCCTGAATTGGGCTGAGCAATACCCACACACACACACACACACACACAAATCGTATAAGGCCCTACTGATATTCAGAAGCTTTACACTGCATTTTGCAAAAAACACAAGAGAAGCACATTGCAGGGAGGACCTAAATGGCTCTATGTTTATCACATGGCACACTTTTCTACTGTTTTGGGTGTTATGTTTTTGTGAAGTTTAAAATAAAGTGGTTCTAAAGGCTCAAGGTATTTTACCTTCATGTATTCTTTGCATGCAGGTAAAAAACCTTCTGTGGCTCCTGTGGCTGTCAATCACAGCCATCGAGCCAACAAGGAGAGAGCGGGGGGCGGGGCCGAGTCGTGGCTTTATGTGTCTAATGGATGCATAGAGCAGCTGCTCGGCAAGTGGCTTTCCCTGGGGGTACCTCTTGAGGGGGAGGAGCCAGGAGTGCTGGGGGAGATCCGAAAAGAAGAGAATCGGGGCAGTTCTGTACAAAATCACTGCACAGAGCAGGTAAATATAGACATGTTTGTTATTTAAAAAACAAACAAACAAAAAAAAAAAACCAAAGCTTTAGTGTCACTTTAAAATGAAAATGTGGTGAAGAAAATATATAGGCTGCTATTACTAACATTCTTCTGAAAATTCTACATTGCCTGGCTTCAGTATTGAGTTATTGTTTCAGAAGAAATAAAAATTCAGAACTCCTGATCTGCATACTTATTTTGGGCTAGTGGCTCAGGAGGGACTAACACCATTTCTTTAGCCTAGAAGCCAAGCATTTATCACTTCTAGCAGCTCCCTGTTTCTGCTACTAATACAAGTAATCTGACCACAAAATGTTTCATTTTTATACAAAGTAACCTAAAACCAATACACATTAATAGTGTCTGTTCACCTATATTTAGGAGACTTGAGAAACTTGGCAGCTGTAGTGGCTGTATAATAGTATACATTTTTCTACCCCTACCTTTACTAGACATTCTTGCCATTTCTAGGACTTAATTACATAATTCAGATAGCCGATGATTCCATTAGACTATAGGGAAAGAACATCAATGAGAGTAAAGCGTGGTACACACTCTAAATGAAAAACACTTACAGATTACTGTACTAACACAAGTGATGTTACTACACTGATCTCCCCCGCTGAGCTTTTGTGTTCTGACAGGTAGACCACTCCCCTACCAGGAAACACTGATCAATGCTTACAGCCATTGGCTGCGAGCTCTATTCGGATGCCGGTCAGCTGCTGGTTTTCCAGCATGCCCATTTGACAGAAGCCGGGCAGGCTGCTGTGTACACTGGCTGAATGTCGACTGGTTTCTGTCGAACCAGCCGATATTCAGCCTGTGTGTGTAAGCCCTAACTGTCTATGTTGCCTGTGTTCACTACTTTCGTATATTATTTTTTTCAAACCTTTGATTCACATATGGAGTTTGCTTGCTATTGGCAACACAGAGAGTTCTGTCAGATATCTGAGGCTCTGTACAATTTCTTAGTTAAAGTGTGTTACTGGTCAGCTATCATTCTACTTCATAATTAGCTAACGTAGACAAATGAATCTAGGATTTAGGAGCCAGAAGCCAGCCTTTAAAGTGACTCTTGTCACATGAATCAAAAAAGCTGCTGACAAATATAAAGTACAGGCACCAACACAACTGCAGAAAGTTTTAGTGGCTTTTCTCTTCCCAAATGCTGGACCGTTTCTGATCAGGAAAAGCTTTAGAACTTCCTGGTAGTGTCAGAGCTTGCCGATCACCTCCTGCCTCCCAAACATTATAAGAGCCATTAAGACAGTCCATCATAATGATGGTTCAGTAGGAATATATAGAGGACAATGAGAGTATGGGCTTGCTCCAGCACCAGGAAGTGTAGTAGCTTTATCAAATCATAATGTGGCAATCAAACATAGAGGTGGCGCACTATATCTGCTTTTTTTTTTTTTTTTTTTTGGGTTAAAGCCACTAAAGGGTCAATTCACAAAGGTTACCGCATGTGAGAACAGGGTCACATTACTAATTTGCATAAATTATCACATGCAGTAACAAAATGTCCAGTTCACAAAAAAAAAAAAAAAAAATTCTGCGTTATTTAAAGCAAAATTTAAAATGTGCCGGTAAATACCGCAAAAAAAAACCACGCGGTAAGCTGTTAAGTCCAATTCACAAACAGAGCAGAAAGTAAAAAAAGATGCGATATTTATCACCAGGGTTTTGCTGGCGGTATTACATGCAGTATTTTTCAGATGCAGTGAGGGGGTGTCCCTCAACCCCTGGGAGTCTGGTATGGATATTAAGGGGAACCCCACACCAACATGTTTCTTAAAACGGCGTGGGGTCCCCCTCAGATCCATACGAGACCCAAAATCCCTTTAGATTGTGAGGGGACCCGTACGCCTTTTTTTATTTTATTTTGATGGGGAGGCCCCCACACTGTTTTTTTTTTATCATTTTTAATTCCTGGCATGTTTTGTTTTCATTCAGCGGTCAGTGGGACACCCGCTGATAGCTGATAAGTCATCTGTTGTTAAGGGCGATGAACGTGCGATAAATTACCACCTGAAAATATGCTGTAATTACCGCAATACAGATATTTTACTGCAAGAGTTATTTACTGCAAAATTCTTGGTGAATTGCACATTTGCAAGAAATGTACCGCATGCATTATTTTACCACGTTTTTACAGTCGTTATTTTACTCTTCGTGAATTGACCCCTAAGTCACATAAAGAAACCTTTGGAAAGGCTACACCGCCTTAGCAAATTAGCAGCGTTTTGGCACATCGACTAATTGGCTAAGGATATTCCCAGCTTTAAATTAGAACATACATTTTACCTAACTAACTTCTGTACTAATGTAACCCTCCAGGAATAGCTGTTTGCATCGGAATGGCCAGTACTTTTGCCTATGCTAATTCTTCTGTCAAACACCAGGTGTCCCTAAAGGTAAGGAAATAATCTAACCAGCACAATGTAATAAAGGGAACATTGAATGTCTGAGCCTGTGGAAATCTTGTGCTGAGATCTCTCAGGATATAATGTATGTAAATAAGGGCAATATTGAATTTAAATGCTAAGTACAGGAGGAAACATAATTAGCACATTTCTGTTTAATTGGAGAATTTCTAGCCCAGCTCTGATTAGAAGTGGCCATGTACAGCCTGTTATTTGCAAGTGTTATTGATTTAAGCATCACTTGAAGTAATCAAATCATTTAGGTTTTGTTACTGTTGGTAACTGGTATTTGTAAGTATGAGAACTGTATAGGGCAGATTGGGAAGTAAATAAACAGTAGTGCAATGGTTAGAATGAGCACAGCAGCTCTGTCACCATCTGTAGTTCTCAGGGATAGGTTCTTCTTTGTGTGGTCACCCTATTTCTAATGACTAGCAGTACTTTTGTATTTACTTCAGACTAGGTATATACACAGGATAAATTAATAGTTATATATTTATTGATTATTTTTATCTGAAAAACTACCTCACCACTTACATTTTGTTTGGAAATTAAAGTTTCTCTAAAGCCAAATGTTTGTTTAATTCGTTTTTGATAGAGTTTAGATTTTGAAGCCCCTGTTATGTTTTTGTAGTGTTTTGTGTGCATACTAAGGAAATGTATTTTATTTTATATATATATATATATATATATATATATATATATTATTATGTCCTGATTGTCTATTGTCACCAAGAAAGCAATGTCAAATCAAAAATGTTACAGTTGTCACCAGATCAATAAATCTTCTAGTGGATACATCTGTTTCTGTGAAAACTGTCTGATAGAGAATTTCCTCTCACTTCCTCTAGTGTTTCCTGTACATAAATAGATGTACATTTGCCCCATTGGAACACAAACGCCAAGAAAAAAACTTACCAGAGATTTAAAAAATGTAGAGGATATATTATTGAGTTGTCTAAACCAAAGAGGAGTGTCATATAAGTCACTGCTTTAAATTATGCATTTGTGTTGTTCACAGATTGTATGTATTCATTTAAAAACATTCACAAATGTATGCTTAATATACATTTCCCTATGTTTTTTTCTTTAAAAATAACGCAAGTGCAAAAAATACTTGTTGATACTGCTAGAAATCCGCTGTTCCCCTGACTCCCTATTTGAGCTGACAACACGTTTCTGCTGCATTGATATCCCAACCAGTATTGCAGCACTACCCCCATTCTCTTTTTCTGGACTACAGAACACTTTCTCTTTACATAACATAAGGGTGTGTTCTGCAGTCCAGTAGGGATAAACTCCCTGTTTGGGATTTTAGCGCAGCAAATGCAGTATTGGAATGTTAGAAGTACTCTGATTTTCTGGCTGTGTCAACATATATTTTGTGTACTTGCAGTACTTTTTTAAAAGCTTGTTCAGATGTTCGTCCAGAGGGCAGCAAAAGCAGGTGGCTCAGCAGCAGTGTTAAACCTCCACCCCCCGACCACTCACCTGACCAAAGACATGATCGGGTCTGTACACATCCCCCGTCAAAAATTAAACCATGTCACAATTTGTGGGCAGTGCAGTGCTTGCAGTTGCTTTGGCTTTGCCTTTTATCTGCTCCCAGCTACCTGTCAGCTGGCTTCCAAAAAGCGACCCACCACAGATCGTCTTATCAGGGAGGCAGCAAGGGCTGGCATACATGAGAATGAGCCCTAAAATTTAAAAAAAAAACCTGGGGAAATGTGCCTGTACTGCAGAGATGTACTCATTTTTGGTGGAATTTTGGCCAGACATACACTTTTAGTAAATATTTGAATCCATTGAGCCATTAATCAGTCATTGTACCAGTTATGTTTTTTTTATCTCTTCAGGAGAAGCGCTCTGTTGTGACAGTGTTTTGGATTATTGTATTCTTGATGGGGAACACATTTTACCTCCTATATAGCTTTCGGTCCCAGCAGCTGTATTACAGGTGAATAATCTCTCACCCATAGCATTCTTAAACTAATGTTGCTTTACATACACTTGTGTGCCCACTTTTACATACTGTACCTTAAAAAAACAACTGATCCTTGTAGTCAATATATTATACATAGGCAACTGGTCATGAATTAGCTTGAAAATATGCTGTAAAAAATGATATCAAATGGCATACATATACTGCAAAGGATACAGGGAAAACGGCTAAATTTGAATTATGTATGTGTTTTCATACTGTGAAAATATTTGGAAGTGTGGTCAGCCACTGTTGTGGTTAATGCACCTTTGCCATGATCCAAAACAAGGTAGGTGGCACACTTGGGGCTCGTTCACACCAAAAAGTGGCTTGGGAAACCTGCATTCCAAGTTCAAAGCTCACCTGGTGTACAATCTTCTGTGGGTGTCATTGTAATCCTAATGACACCCCAAACGCAGATCACAAATGCAGTGCATTTACCTACACCAGATAGTACTGTGGTACCATGCGATCTGGTTACAAATGCGTCGCATGCACTGCTTTTGGTGCAAACCAGTGTGATTTTAGCCCATTCAAATGGATGCTCTGGAAATCACATCGCACTAAATTGCATAGGAATGCAGAGCACGTTCCTGTGCGATTCTGGACTTTCCTGGTTCAGCATTGCAGCTTCCTATGTCACCTTTGGGCATCCAGCCTGCTCTTTTGACTGTAAATGAGTTCTGTCTATTGAGCACAGAGCTGGCTGTTTTTTTATTAAACACATATGCATCCCAACTTTAAACTATAAAGAAAGGTTCAGGGGGGCAGGAGAAGCCAGTGAGCTGGGTAAACTTCACTCTTTTATATAGACCCTTCGTTTGCAGCTTGTAAAGCTGAACATAGGCTGCTCGAATTTTAGCCGTTCAGCCCATGAGATTATTGAAAGAATGTGGATGGAGAGATCTCCGTTGTATTTAGATATCTGCGGCTGCTGAACTGCATGTGATAGGATGCAGTTACTGTTCAGACACAATACTTTTCCACCCAGCTCAGTTGAGGTGCTTGTATGGCCAACCATGGCTCGAATTTTGGCCAACCCAGCAGAAGTCAGCTGAAATTTGAGTCATCTGATGACACCATAGATGGCCTGTAAGGCAAACCTCCAAGACTTGTGGATGATTCCCTATCCCAGCATGTGTCAGAGCTTTTCCTCAATTTTTTTTTTTGGGACAAACATATACCAGCTTATTGAGTAAGCAATCTGAAACTACTGTTAATGGTAATGGACCAGAAATCCTCTTTCACTGATCGGATTTTAGTGAACTGAAATCTGAGTGGTCAGTATGGATTTCTTGTGCTTATTGTACTGCTATACTGAATATGTTTGTCACTGTATTAAGACTAGTTGATCTTGTTGCACATGTTAATGCGGAGTATAAAGGTAATTTAAGGAAAATAGTCCTCTCTGACTAAAAGGATCAATATACAAAACTTAGTTTATTTGATATAAAACTGCTTATGATAAAGGAAAAATATGGAAACCAGCCATACATACGCTCTGCAGATTGAAATGTGTTTGGTGTCGAGTTGCCAACTCTCCAAGGTTGTGGATCACACTGCTGCTGGTAAAGCCTGCAAGTCATTATGAACTTTTAAACCTAAATTCTTTACTTGGGAACATGTACCACATTACCCAGGATAGCATCATCTGTGGGCACCTCTGATCCTGATATTCCTGATCATCCCCCTGTCCAGTAAACGTCTGTAGGGGTGCTGTCATTAGACAGGAGGATGGCATGTGGGTTGGGCTTAGGTCTGAAGTCAGGGTTGTCAAGGCCTTTCTTACAGAGTGAAACCAGTTTCAGGTGCTTAAAGTGATAATAAATGTTCATTTACCACAAAAAAAAAAAAAAAAAAAAACTAATACCTTATACTTACCTGCTCAGTGCAATCGTTTTGCACAGAGCAGCCCCGATCCTCCTCTTTACAGGTACCCTGCTGGCACTCATTGTTCGTTCTTTTCTCTGAGTGCCCCCATATCAATCCACTTGCTCTTAGGGCACTCATGTGTGCTCGCTCCTTGAGCTCCGCTCTGTGTGTCTATAAGTCCTCGATCCCTCCTCACTGGCTGTGATGGACAGCAGTAGGAGCCAATGGCTCCCACTGCTTCCTCTCAGCCAATGAGGAGGCAGAGATCCAGGAGAGCAGCCACTTTCGTGCATATCGCTGGATCGCATTCAGGCTCAGGTAAGTATTTGGGGAGTTGGTGGGGTTGCAGGGGGAGCTGCATACTGAAGGTTTTTTTACCTTCATGCATAGAATGCATGACGGTAAAAAAATATACACCTTTAGAACCATTTTAAATGAGGCTCCTCTAGCTATTAACAGGCACCATGTAGTAAAGAAGTAAAAATGGCTATAAGGGTGAAATTTTTTTTTAAACAAATAGTTGGTCATAGTACAAAATATTTTTTTTTTTCATATCTCAAAAAGCACATTTGTGTACCTTTTTTATAACGCCAGTATAGACAGAAAATGTTTAGAAAGTCTTGTTACTGTGCACTAAAACAACTGCAAGAACTGACTGTTGTTCCTTTTTAGAATTTTTTTTTTTTTAAGGAAATGTTTAAACAATTTGACATTTTTGTTTATTTCTTACACATGCTTTATTTTATTTTCATTTTTTTTTTTTTTTAGGTTCTCATTTAGTCCAATGTTGTGTGAGTATTTCCATTATTTTGGTTTTTCTTTTGTCATCCTGCTTTTAATTTTTCTTTTTGTTTGTTTTGTGATCCTTCCACTAGTTTATTTCAGGGTGGTAAAGTAAGTGTCTTGTGGGGAGCTGTATTCCGAGGAAGGATGAGTCCAGAGTCAAAGATCAGTCAGGGAAGATTAAGAACACGACTGTCAGACAAATGTTGTACAGATTGTTCCACATTCAGTGAAGGTCGCCTCTGTTCTGTTCTATCGTTGTAACTGGGACAAAAGTGTCAAGACGCCCAGTCTGGGAGCATGTGGCGCCGTTCACGGCAGGTTCAGTGACATGTGGTGATCACTCATTGTCTTGGTACATCCAATAGTTTGATGATAAACCATAGATGAAAAATGTGAGGGGACTATTTGTTAGGACAACAAAATAAACAGAGCAGGCAGTTCTTTTGAAGTACAAATTAATCAAGGTAAATCTGGGGCTCTTTGATAATTAAATAATATACTTCCTGACATTGTTAAAGTAATTTGTAACTTAGTTCTAAACCCAAGAACACTAATATATTGTGACTTGCTAGTCCTTAATTGTGGTGCCTCTATTATTATATTTATTTGTTTCTTTTTTTAGGGGTTTTTTTTTTTCAGTAATACTTTGTCTCACAGTGATATTGCTCACTCACTCTACTACATCTGTGGTAGAACAGTGTGTCACCCTAGGATAGAAAGTTTGTTAGGACTATAGAACATCCCCTTTCCCCTCTCTTTATCTCATAACGTGGGGTAGGTGTTTTGTTGTTCAGTGATAACCTGTGTAGGACTGATATGAGGTTTGAGAACACTTTAGAGTTCACAGAAAGTTACAAGTTCTTTGTATTTTCTGGCAGGACCAACAGGTAGTTTTTTTTGCACTTATTGAACAGATATAAGAAATTGCTTTTAATGGTATATTAAACAGACCAAAAAGGTAGAAACTAAGAGAAGTTTGCTAGGGTTAAATTACACTTTACCTGTATTTGTTTCAAACCTATGCGCTACACACACCATGTTTAATAGAACTAAACTCTCTTTTTACATTAGCATTTATGATAATTACCGTAGAAAGAAGTCCGACCCCCATGTTTTTGCCCATAACGTGTTAAAATGCTTAAAAAAGCATTCATATCCTCTTAATCCATTTAAGACCACTACTTTACTGTTCCCAGTAGAGATGTGTAGTGAGCAGTGGCTCCCATGTTGCCACCATGTGACTTGTGGCGGGAGGTATAAATGGCATATGCCGCAATTCCTTAGCTGCTTGGCCAGCAGAGCATGTGTGTACTGGGAAAGTGATTGCATTGTCAAGTTTACATTGGCACAAACTCCTTTAGTACAGATGTGAAATAAAGTCTCAAGAGTGAAATTGCTGTTTACCATCTCAATAAGGGCTCCGCAACTGCACCGCAAACGCCGGCCAGGCATTTGCGGAGTGGCACCATAGACTTGAATAGGAGGCTTCAACCCCTGACTTGACCAGAGGCGTCCGTTTTGCCGCGACACTAATGCTCCCGTTTGAACAGCACTGTGTGCTGCAATGTGCAGAATTTTCCCAGGCGTTTGGGAAACGGTAAAAACGCTTGCCAAACGCCTGTCTGCCGCTTGCAAACAAGCCTAGTGTGAACGTAGCCTAATATTGTCAGCAGAAGCCATATATACATAATGTACAAGAGGGTTTTCTGGCAGGATCACCAGGTATATTAAAAAATGTTCAATTGCAGAGCTTGGAGATTGCTCACTGATATGTTGTTTCTCTGTTTGCTTATACGTACACTTTAAGGGTCCATGCACACTGATTTTGTACAAGCGTTAAGCATTTTATTTTCTGCCAGAAAACTCCTCTCAAAAACGCAAACCAGGAGGGTTTTTTTCCCCTACCGTCTTTCAGGCCAGCACTCTGAGAGACCTCGGCTCCTCCCCATCTGAGGAAACACCTCCACCTACAATAAAAAAGCTCCACTCCCCTCTGACCTCAGTTCAGGTGTTTCCTCCGGTGGGGAGACACGAGGAGGCGCAGGAAGACGATAGGGGAGCCGAGGGCCGGATAGCCGGCTGTGAGGCCCGACGCAGCCGGGAGTGAAGGCCGGAGTGTCCGGCTGCATATCCTCCCAGGGCAGGCTGCCAGCAGTGAGAGTGCATCCCGGGGGACGGGACAGGGCACTTACCTGCTCTTCGCCCCCCGACCCCCTCCGGCGAGGGGGGGCGTCGGGGTGGCCGTGGTGAGGTCTGGGGAGGATCGGGGGGAGTTCCGCTCCTTCCCATGCTGGCGGTCTGAGGGCTTTGCCGGGCCG